CCCTTAGTCAGACTAGCAGGTGAGTGCTCACATGCCTGTTTAGTAACGAAACGAATTAGGAAACATTAGCAATAAGTCTTGAAATGCCTGATTTAAAAACCTGTAGCAAAAGTTTCTGTGCTGAATAGTCTCTACCAAATCGTTCTGGAAGTAGGTCTGCTGGAACTCAGGAGCAGGTCAAGGTATTCCATGCCCTTGATTCACATAGATGCTGAACAGCAGGGGTCTTTTTTCTACCTGAGGGGTTGTCCAGGTTCCCAGCAGCCCTTTGACCTTACTTACTCAGTGACAGAGTTCAGCTCAGTCAGAAAAAGGGTCTTTCTGGAGAGACATGGCAGAACCCAAAAATCTCCAAAATCTCCGTTACCTTATTAGAGCCCACCTTCGCCATTAATGCATATCTCTAGGGGAACAAGTTTCCTAAAAATCGCAGGGGTGAACATGTCTGATAAAGAAAGCTAGTGCAGGGCAGTGTTGCTTTTCTAGTGATTCAAAGCACGTGTTTTGAGGTTCTGATTCTCCAGACTTGCCATTTTCTGACTTCTGAGCTTCTGTTTCCTCCATAGAGATATGATAATAACACCTCCTGTGCAGAGAAGAGTTAATGTGTGAGACCACGTATCTTAGAAAAGCTGATTTGTAAGGTTGCATATGGAAGCTTGGATTTTAGGAGGGGTCCCACCTTTCCCTGATAAGAATGATTCACTGTGCCTAAATTGTTTATGCAAATAATATTGTTTATGCTGAACCCCTGAATTCCTTCTGGATTCTAAAATTTTGGCATGGGCCAAGCAAAGGGTACTTATGTGACCTATACTGAATAAAACCTTCAGGCACTGAGTGTATCACAAGCTTATCTGGTCAACAACATTTTTCACGTACTGAAACCATTCAGTACTGGAGGAATTAATCGCGTCCTATGTGAGTCCACTGAGAGAGAATGCCAGGAAGCCTATGCCTGGTTTCCTCCAGACTTTGCCCATGTGCCTTTTTCCCTTTGCTGATGATGCTTTGCATATGTTCACTGTAATAAATCACAGCTGGAGTGTGAGTATGTGCTAAGTTCTGTGAGTTCTCCTAGCCAATCAAACCTGAGGGTGGTCTTGGAACACCCCATCACCCCCTGCCACCAAAATAGGGCTATTGTGAGTTCTAAGTGAGATAGACAAGGTGAACCTTGAGCACTATGCCAGGTACAGACAGATCATGGACATATCCAAGAGAAGAAACCGTTCCAAGCAGATCATGGATTTTAGGAGGGCCCCCTACCGTGTATCTCTCTCTTTCATGGTGTAAAAAGCATCAGGACTACTTCACCTGAGTGTGATTTTAGGAGGGCCCCCTACCGTGTATCTCTCTCTTTCATGGTGTAAAAAGCATCAGGACTACTTCACCTGAGTGTGCGTTTCCTCATTGCTACCAGAGTAATGGCCATCGCTAATGAAATATCACTGTACCTCATGGTGATGCTCTCTCTACATTTAGGGAAACATTGCTTGAAAATGTAGAACTTTTAAATTTTCCTGTCTAGTTTCTTCCTCTATAACTCTTTAGCTCAAACTTACTAGAAGTGTAGAACTGTATAACCATGTAAATTACAGTTATGTAGTATCACAGGATACAGTGTAGGTAAATTAATTCAAGCACAGGACAACTGCCTTATTTTAGAACAAGAACAGTATTAGTTCACTGATATCTTCTTTTTTATATTTTCATATGAGTGGCATGGCAACCACTGGGACATTCACAAATAGGAAGGGAATAGTAAAACATTTCTATTCTGATTCTAAAAATATTTGACCTAGCATTTTCAGTGCTAGTTCATGTATGAAGTCATGCAAAATAACTCTCCTTAAGTGATTTTTCTAAGATAATTGCTACCTTGTTTTAAAAAAATAGTCATAAAGTTTATTCAAATGTCAAGTGGACTCCACCAACACATGACCAAATTATATTTTCAAATGTATTTTTATTTTCACGATATAATACTGAGAGGTAGTATATAGACCCACTTACATATTTGGCATAATTTCCTGGCCACTGAAAACATTCCAGGCCCTCAGCCAACCAGATGGTAACATCATAATCAAGGTTCCTCTGAGTTAATGCAATTGTATAACAGCTAACACAGTTACCACATTGGATGTTATTACTTGAGACTTTGAAGCAGCTAAAGTAGAAAGAGAAAAATGATGGGCACCTGAAGATACAAGGTATGGGATGATAAGCAGGTCTTTGCTATTGGTATTTTCTGTGCCAAAATTTACTCCACTATGTAATGGCTTAAAGCAACAGCCATTTATTTATGTCCTGATTCTATAAGTCAGCACTTTGGGTCTAGCTCAGCTGCATGATTCTTCTCCTGGTTTTGACTGGGTTCACTTAGTGGATAGCTGCTGGTCAGTTATGTGGCTTTGCTACCAGAGCTGATTATTGGATGCACTGATGGGTGACTGGACCACACCATCTATCATCCTCCAGCAGGATGACCTGGCCTTGTTCTCAAGCTGGCTGTTTGTTCCAAGAGCAGTAAGAAGGCAAACCCCAGTGTCCAAGATCATTTCATGCTTGTGTCATGGTTTCTGTTGTCCCATTGGCCACAGCAAATTACATATTCAGGCCCAGAGTCAGTGTGGGAGAGACCCACATAAGGACATGGACACTGGGAGGCATGAAACATCAGGGGCCATTCCTCTAATGGTCTACCACAACTGGATTCCTTAAATTCTTTACATTTTGGCTTGGGTATTCTCAAAAGTTTAAAGTCAGCCGACCTGTATTTATTAACCCACTTTAGTAAGGTACTTAAAGAATTTTTTAAGTTGTGCTATGCTCTCCAAAAGAAACAACACATCAAGGTGTTTTCAGCCCTTATTATCTTTCATTGATTTTTCTTTATCCCTGTATATTAGTTTCCCCAATTAGTCTTAAGTAACAACCACGATGGATGGGAAAATGGGTTTTGATAGAGTCTAGGGAGTTAAGGCTGTGAAAAATCTGATCACTGTCAAGAGAATACATATCCAGTGCTGTGGTCTAATTGTGTCCCTCCAAAACCCATAGGTTGAACTCCTAACCCTCGAGGTGAGCTCATTAGGAAGTGGTGGGGCCTTTGGGAGAGGACTAGCTCATGAGGGTGGAATCTCATGAATGGAGAATTAGTGCCATTGTTAGAAGAGGACAGAGAGAGCTCCTTTTTCCCTACCAACATGTGAGGTTCCAGCAAAAAGACAGCCATGCAGGAAGTCCATTCTCACTAGACACCGAATCTGCCAGAGCCTTGATCTTGGACTTCCAGACTCCAGAACTGTAAAGAATAAACGTCTGTTGTTTAAGCTAGCCAGTCTCAGGTATTTTGTTATGGCGGCCCAACACCCGGGTAGAGGATGGAATAGGAACTTGGGAAAATGTGAAGGCACCAGGAAGACCCTGTTTCCCAAGCAGGGATAACTGGTTAAGAGAAGAAACACATTTTAATGGGAGGTAAAGGCGAGGGAGGGGGAGGGGGAGAGCAAGGGAAGATGTTAACACCTTTGGTGCTCTTCCCCCAGGTGTCATTCACTGAATAAATGTACTGTGCTCATGATTTTAGTCTGTGAGCAGATATTTCTTGAGCAGGTACTGCATGCAGTAGTGAACAAGCCGATAGTACCCCTTCTCTGGTGGATATTACCAGATATTTCCCTACTATGTCTGGTAGGGAAAAAAAGACACCAGGCACACCATTACACCTGATTAATTGATAGCAAGTGGGTAAATGCTGGGAAGAATATGTACATGGAGCTATATGAATGTGTAACTCACCTATTCAAGCCTAAAGGCTGAGGGAAGGCTTTCCCAACAAAGCAACGTTGAAGCCAAACCATCATCATTTATAATGCCTGCAACAGTGTTCTTCAGGGTTCCCCAAATGATCATGATGGTCCTATTCGCAATAAACTGAGAGATGGAAAAGCAGTTACCCACGATCACAGTGAATAGGCAAACCTACCTGGGATTCAAACCCAGGTTGTCTGACATGTTTTCGGTACCATAAAGCACACAGTGACTATTTTAAATATTTTCTAGAGGTATCCTGGTCACAAGGTATATTTTAATTAGGTAAACTACATTGTTTCAAATAGGCAACATACATGCTACGAAGTTCTAAACATAATATACAGTGAAAAAATGGGTCTTGCTCCCTGCTGTGTCTCCCCAGCTCCTTTCTCTGCAGTCAATGCCAGTCAACTTTCTTCTCTATTTATTCAGAGATCTATTTATATTTGTAGCACTTACTTTGTGCCAGGGACTTTTCAGAGTGTTTTACCAATGTTTACTAGTTTAATCCTAATAATAATTTTATATGGTGAATGTGATTACTAACCTCATTTTTCATGTATAAACATATATTTGTCCATACAGAGGTTTGAGATTTCAAGTGCACACCAAATTTTGAGATGCTTCTCCCTGCATGCTAGTCAACTTCTGCTTTGCTAATACCACATAACAAGTTCAGAATTTTAGTGGCTTAATTATAAGCCTTGATTTCTTACTCATGAGTCACCTGTGGCTCAGCTGGGCACGGCTTCAGACTGGAGGTTGGATTTGGATCTGCTTCATGCATCTCTCCTTCCAGGATGCAGGCTGAGGGAGTATCACCCACCAGAAGCACAAGGTGGAAAGTAGAAACACAGAGTGCCTTCTATTCTGAGTGCCTTCTACTCTTCTACTCAGAGTGCCTCCACACCGGACTGCTGCACAGTCCATATCAAGGCAGTTCACATGGCCAAATCCAAAATCAGTTGGGCAGGGAACTGTATATCCACATGGCAAGTGCAAGGAGAAAACAAATCATGAGTGAAATATCTTATCTACACCCCCTGAAAATCCAACTTTCATCTTTTGCTGCTGATACCTAGAGGAATAATCGAAAAGGCAGAACTGCGAATGGATAGTTTTCCTATCATCTTCTGCTGGCGAGATACAAACATTATCTCTTTTCTGTCTGCATTTCCCAGGTCTTTGCATCATGTTCGGAAAGAAAAAGAAAAAGATTGAAATATCTGGTCCATCCAACTTTGAACACAGGGTTCACACTGGGTTTGATCCGCAAGAACAGAAATTCACGGGCCTCCCGCAGCAGTGGCACAGCCTGTTAGCAGACACGGCCAACAGGCGGAAGCCCATGGTAGACCCTTCCTGCATCACACCCATCCAGCTGGCTCCTATGAAGGTATGGTGAGGATTCTGTCTTTATGTTGGCTTAAGAAGCATGTTCTCATTTAATGCAGTGTACCATATTTACAGGCAAGCTAGAAAATGCCTAAATCATGTATTTGTTTTTAAGTATCTGCTGATTATCCACACTTACTCTTCAGTGATTATAATGTTCACCACTTATTGTAAATTGCAGCACATGAAAAGGAACTGCAACTTTCAGATGTGAGATTTTTTTTAATCAAACACATAAAATGCAATCACAAAATAGACAAGTCTTATTTCTACTTAAAAATGGCGTGTGTTGGGATGCCTGGGTGAAGTGTCCGACTTCAGCTCAGGTCATGATCTCACAGTTGGTGAGTTCGAGCCCTGCATCGGCTCTGTGCTGACAGCATGGAGCCTGGAGCCTGCTTCAGGGAGTTCAGTCTCCCTCTCTCTCTGCCCTCCCCCACTCACACACTGTCTCTCTCTCTCTCTCTTAAAAAAATTTTTAAATAAAAATAAATAAATAAAATGGTGTTTGCTAGTCTTCATACTGAAGAATATTATCTACCCCCTCTGGTAAGTGTGGTCAGTAACCTCTGATGAAATAGGCAACCTTTAGGTGTTTTGAATTTGCCCTTTAGAATGTTTAACTTGCATGTCAAATACAGCACTAACAGATTTTAACAATAATAAATGATTCATATGTATGTATATACACATACATAAACATACATGTCCACACATATATGTACCTTTTGTATATAATCATGTTTATATACATATATATTCATATTTGTCTTCATTGTCTGAGAGAGAACTGTTTCAAATAAGAATGAATCATTTGAGTCCCAGAATACAATATAATTTACCTTAAAGAAGTGGCTAGTAGATTTTTGGCAAGGTATGTTCATGAAGATAATTGCATTAAAGCAGAAAGGAGACACAGTAATTTCAAAATGTCAAGAGGCTACAAAGGAAATTCAGTCGTTGCTGTTTCCTTCTGCATCTCAGAATAAGAATTCCGTAGACCACTAAAAAATTGTCCAAAAGCTCCCTATGGGAGTTAAACATCATTGAAGTTTATCATCATGTTATACAATAGGTCTCTTGTTCATTGTATTAGCAGACATCTGAGCTGCATGAAGTAGCCTCTTCTGTGTAAAGATGAATATTAAGTACATTGTGTGTTAGTGATTAGGCAAAACAAGTGGATGCATTTTTAAAGGATGCAGAGAGGGGCGCCTGGGTGGCGCAGTCGGTTAAGCAGCCGACTTCAGCCAGGTCATGATCTCGCGGTCCGTGAGTTCGAGCCCCGCGTCGGGCTCTGGGCTGATGGCTCAGAGCCTGGAGCCTGTTTCTGATTCTGTGTCTCCCTCTCTCTCTGCCCCTCCCCCGTTCATGCTCTGTCTCTCTCTGTCCCAAAAATAAATAAATAAACGTTGAAAAAAAAAATTTAAAAAAAAAATTTAAAAAAAAAATTAAAAAAAAATTTAAAAAAAATTTTAAAAAAAAATTTAAAAAAAAAATTTAAAAAAAATTAAAAAAAATTAAAAAAAATTTTTTTTTCAACGCTTATTTATTTATTTTTGGGACAGAGAGAGACAGAGCATGAACGGGGGAGGGGCAGAGAGAGAGGGAGACACAGAATCGGAAACAGGCTCCAGGCTCTGAGCCATCAGCCCAGAGCCCGACGCGGGGCTCGAACTCACGGACCGCGAGATCGTGACCTGGCTGAAGTCGGCCGCTTAACTGACTGCGCCACCCAGGCGCCCCAAAAAATTTTTTTAAAAAAAAAAAAGGATGCAGAGAAAGAGGCCTGGCTGATAAGTTACAGGAAATTCTTACAACATACCACCTGAGCTAAGTAAAGTAGAATTGTCATTCCATCATGTGCACACAGTCTTGGTCATTCTGTTCTGGTATTGAATGGGTAGGTCTGTCCCACCCAAAGGTAAATACAGAGTCTTCTAATCTTGAATTTTGTGAATTTGATTTTCTCATTAAGATTTAGAAACCTTTTAGGCCAGCTAAAATGTAAAATATTCAAAAGGTGGATATTAGAGAAGATACATCTTTGGGGACAAAAAGGAACCTCCCATTTAAAACAGATATTGACTGGTATTTAATAGAAATTAACCAAATAAATAAATAAACATATAAATAAAAAAGGGGGCACCTGGGTGGCTCAGTTGGTTAAGTGTCTGACTTTTGGTCTCAGCTCAGGTCTTGATCTCAGGGTCATGAGTTCAAGCCTTGCATTGTGCTCCACACTGGGTGTGAAGCCTACTTGAAAAAATAAAAGTAAATAAATTTTAAAAAGAAAGTGACCAATTAACCAACTCTACTGCTTGATATTAGGCCATATCCTACTACTGAACATGATTTTCTCCCTAAGAGAAGGCTAATGCTTAACTAATGAGTAAATAATGGAGTGAAAGAATTTGCTCTTTCTTTTTATTATTTTTCTCCTATCCCAAGTTTTTATAAAACCCAAACAATGGAATGTGCACTGTGCCCAGAAAAATTTTCTGCCATTGAGCCTCATGGTGAAGGAAAAGCGCCCCAGTGAAACAATTATTGAGTGTCATTATTATTTGATGAGGAACAAGCTAGAAGGAGACAGAGTCTTCAAAACATCCTAGCTAAAGGCCCAGGACATGCACTGTCTTATTAGAGAGTGTGTCTGTTATTGAGTAAGGACAGAGTATTATCTACGCACTGTGGTTTTTCATTCATCTGGGTCCTAGCAGGGCCTGGCTGGCAGTGAAGGAGGAGGTTCCTATCTCAGTGATAATCCACCATGCTTGGTGAAGGTAGGACTTAACAGGACTTCTAGTTCATTTCTTCCATTTCTCAGATGGGCTAGCCCATTATCCTCTCTGACAGAATTTGCCAGCTCCGCTAAGAGTTGGACCAAGGTTTCCTAACTGCTGAACTTCTGGGCCTCATGATTCACTTACTCACTCTATGGGCTTTCTAGCCCTGGTGCCCATGAGTGAGCCTCCAGTCTGTATGAAATGATAATATTTGTTATAGGCACTTAAATGCAAACTGCAAGATGACGGGAAAATATATCTCCAGTAGAGACCCAGGCCTGAATTATGCAAATTGGACCTCAAGCACAGTTTTGCCTGTGAGAAAGAAAATAAGAACGGACAAGGAATAACAAAACAGTAATCAGCTAGGTAGAATTTTCCCCAGAAAGAGTGGAGTTAATCAAACATTTTGAACTGAAGGACACCCAATAAATCTCTACTTGATACTTTCCTCCATATCCTGTGAGTGAAGTCAGTGCTGTCGACACGTGTTGGACAATATTGGTCTGAGAGAATCCTGCTGACTCCATAGCATCTCTAGAATCAGAAAAGCGTTCAAGGGGCCAAAGTATGCCACGTGGTTTGCATGATCTACTTTTTGGAAATGCCTTCTCTGGAGGAATCTTCCATAGTTTTAACATATTATGAATCATGCAGAATCTATCTCAGAAGTCAGAACAATCCTCGAAATAAGCTATGCAGGAATTGACAGAAAGGAGTGAAAAGAATTGTGCTGATAAAGCCATTTTGGCAAAGTTATTTAAGTAGAACAAACAATTCTAATTTTTTCAGGCTGTCCTTTAAAGGGGACAAAGAAAAATAAGAGATCACCACACGAAAGCAGTAAATGGAAGAAGTGTGTAGCACTTCAGTAAGCTTTAGGCAGGCTGGTTCTGAATGGAGATTCGCCATTGCGATTAATTCTCTGATTAGTGTTTCAGCCGTTCCTATTCGGAACCTTCTTTAAATTGCATATCACTCTTGCCAGGACGCTCTTCTTCTGTGTAGATTTATTGATGTCAGTGTATCTCAAATTATAGTCCGTCAAAGTCACCTGGAGGGCTTGCTAAAACACAGATTGCTGGGCCCATCCCCCAAGTTTCTGATTCAGCAGAACTGGGATGGGGTCAGAATTTTGCATTTCTAATAAGTTTCCAGGTGATGCTGATGTTGCTGGTCTGGAAACCGCACTTTAAGAACTTTGATTTAGGTAATTATAAAGGAATTCATCCACATAAGGTGTAATCGATCAAAGTTTATGCTGACCAGGATGTCCAAATGGTCAGAAATGTAACCAGAAGCCACAGGTTAGCTCAGATTTGTGTCAAAAGTTAAAGTTCATGTACTCAAGCCAAAGGCACCTAGACAAATGAAGAAAATCTGAACCCCCAGAGATATGGGGGATCCTTTTAGGACATTTGGTAAGTGTCTTTGAGAAATTCCTTTTTCTGTCTAATGTCATTTTGTCCACAAAGCATCATAAGCAATGTTACCAAAATTTCTGCTGAATTAGATGCATTTATTTAAGTGGCAGGTTGAATGGTCACATTGTTCTTGCACTCTGGTTCTCAAACTGGGGCTTTCATCAGAATCTCCTGAGTGGCTTGCCATAACCCAGATTCCCTAGCCCCAACCTAGAGATGCAGATTCAGGAGGTCTGGGGTGGGCCTTGTGATTTGTGGGTCTAACAAGCCCTCAGATGAGGCTGATGCTACTGATGAGTGTGGGGGGGGGGGGGATACACTTTAAGAACCATTATTTTAGGTGGCCTGAAGTTAGAACTTAATGATCACTCTTGGTAACAGCCTGGAAATCATTTGAAAGATGCTGAAGAAAAATACAGAGGATAATATTAAAAAGCCTTTGTATCCTCTATTTAAAATGAACAGATAGCATATTTTAATACTTGCTTCATATTGGTTTTCAGTTTCAAGTAGGGCTTTAGAAATAATAGTATTATTTGTATTATATATATATGGCAAATAATACTATTATTTCTAAATATATATATGTATTTTAGAGAGTACACAAGCAGGGGAGAGGGACAGATGGGGTGAGAGAATCTTTTTTTTTTTAATATTTATTTTTGAGGGAGAAAGACAGACAGACACACCGAGCATGAGTGGGGGAGGGGCAGAGAGAGAGAGGGAGACACAGAACCTGAAACAGGCTCCAGGCTCTGAACTGTCAGCACAGAGCCTGATGCAGGACT